GATTACACCCACTTCCAATTACACGGTGCTTGGGTAGTCCACTTAGTTTCCAGGTAACATATGTGAGAATATCCACTGGGTTGGAAACCACAATTAGGAAACAATCAGGACTGTACTTGACTATCTGCGGAATAATGAATTTGAAGACATTAACATTCCTCTGCACCAGATTGAGCCGGCTCTCTCCTTCCTGCTGGCGGACTCCCGCAGTCACCACCACAATCTTAGAATTGGCAGTCACAGAGTAATCTTTATCCGCCACAATTTTAGGTGTCTGAAGAAATAAGCTCCCATGTTGCAGATCCATCATTTCTCCTTTGAGTTTATCTTCTAAAACATCCACAAGGGCAAGTTCATCAGCCAGAGACTTTCCCAGAATGCTGATGGCACACGCCATACCAACTTGTCCAACACCCACTACAGTGATCTTATTGTTTGGGACGGTTGCCTCTTCTTCTGCAACTGGTGCAATCAGTTTTTCCTTAAGAGTTGCCATTGTGCCCAGAGAGAACCCGCGGGGAGAGTCGTGCGAAGAAGACAATGTTAGCTGCGTGCGTCTCTTCGGGCGCAGGATCTGCAAGGAGAGAGCTATTTGTTCTATTTCTTGATTTTGCTGATGCTTCTGTGGATTCATTCTGTGAGATTTCATTGAGCTGAACATTTGTGCTAATGAATTTTTCTATATGCATTGTTATAGATATTCAAAAGTAAGTAGAACACAGTCCTCAGTATTTATTGCACTTAATTAAACTCACAGTTACATGGAAAAGGTCTTTGTTTAGGCCTCTAGGGTGAAGAAGTGAAGAGTTTTGTTTTTCAAAGAGATTAACTTGAAGAAAGAATTGGGAAGATTTTCACACATTCTCAACTCTTCATGAAGCCAGGAGCATTGCTCAATCACTTGTGTGTGTTGAGGATGTATAAGCAAATGGAGTGGAGGAAATTCTTACTTTGTCATATATTTAGGTCTTTGTAAAGATTATTGCATAGATCTTTTTTTTGTTGTTATTATGTTATGTTAATCACCATACATTACATCATTAGTTTTTGAAGTAGTGTTCCATGATTCATTGTTTGCGTATAACACCCAGTGCTCCATGCAG